ACAACGAGTTCTAATTAACACCCAATAAAGCTTTTTCGTGTCTATTACATTTGACAAGTTAGTACTAACTACAACTACAACGACCTTCACGATTCGATTTTTTAAATCGAGCTATCGATACAAATAATCGAACAATTAAAACTAGTTTGAAACCAATCGCGCGGACTTAACTAACTTAATATTCAATTTGCGAATGAACTTGTGTACATGGATACATGCAAACTACGACACTTCTACTTGCCCAATTAAAAATGATCTCTCACATATACAACAACTACATTATGGCAGACCATTTTATACTGGTTCTCCGAAGCCTGCTTGTCCTCTGAGAGTACTTGTCGGGACAGACAGATTGACGAGGCCGTTTAGTGTTGGCCATATATAGGCCCAATATAACAAAATGTTGGCAGATATTCGGTATCCATTGCCGTTTATGAAAAGTTAACAACAATTTCCTGCCATATAAAGCCTTCAATGGACGACATTCAAGCTGTTGAGTGGCGCGTGTAGGTTGTAGGGGCAACATAGCTCATAATTTCAAATATAAACCCATTAGCGAGCTCCTACGCATATTGTTTTATATTTAACAGAGGTCGAACCAGTGATTATTTTGTCGACGACAAAAAAACACAATTACACTCAGTTATTGAACGGGTTTGTTTTAGCGGACTCTAATGTGATATTAAACAAAGTCAAGTTAATAATACCTATGATTTGTAAAGCAAAAAGCATTATTTCAACGTATAATTCGAAACCCCCAGGGGGCAAACTGTAAATAGCATTTCTATTGGTGTTTTATAAGGGTGTCTCACAAAGGGCACTTTCAACTGTCAACTTACGTAACGCGCCTACGTGATCAAACAGTTACTGTTGTAATCGACCGACATGACGTTAAAATAGAAACATTTAGTTAATCAAGACATTATTAAAATTATCAGCTCACAATTTATATTGTTATATGCTACAGCATGGAATTCCCCGTAGATTAATTCAATCGTAGGTAATATAGATCGCGACCATCGAGTACCATTCGACCATTCGATACAGTATTCAATGATCTCGGTGTATAATCGATAAGCTAGTGTTGCGACACGGTTGACTCGGATCGTGTGTCCGTGCTCTGCCTCTGAGCCAAGTGAACCATTTAGCTTTTGCGTCACATCATCGTTCCGATTTCTCAATTAGTGGATTGAAATGTCCGTTGTATCGAGAGCACATTCAATTGGATACCTTCACACTGTAGCTACGGACGATGCACAAGATAATTTAACTGAGGAATAACTTTGAATATTTGTCAATTCTTCCATACCAAAAACTGTCAATTGTCAATTTTATTTTACTGCTACTATTAACTGATGATTGAAAAATCACCTCTTAAGGGTGAAGATCACCCTTACGTCGTCGTTGTACTTACTTACGTCGAGACTCGGGGTACAACAAAACAGAAGAAAATCGATTAGTTTTGCATAAGAATCGGTATACGTACTTGATAGAGATTCCGATTCAATTTCGAGCGTCATTTTTATACCTCCCGAAACTATGCGAATTATTGCACAACCATATACACATGCAGGAAAATTGCACAAACCTACATAATAGTCTATAATACCAATACACGAGGATTGAACAGAGGTATTTATAAGCTTCAGCTGAAGATAAGGGCAGTAGCTTAATGTTGGCATTGCATTGTACATTACCGTGTATTAATGATAATAATTTTCACGGTCGAGTAAGTGCAGTCGGCAGTTGGACCTTATTATAATAAATTAACGGCGGTGTACCCTAATGGCCTGTACATAATTATACTCAATATTACAAATGGCTAAAGGGTCGTTGGTAAAAAATCAGCTCGGACTTCCAACGAGCAATTTATATCCAAGGTTGTTTATTACGGAAAACGTTTATGTGTAAACATTTTAACCGCTTGTAATTGAAAATAATGTTGTTTTTTGATCCGCAAATTGATTGTGTTGCAATTAAGTGAATTATAAATATGATATATAGTATGTAAGTACGTAAGGTTCTCTTTTGTTTGTTTATTTTTAGAATATCAACAACTTGCTTACTTACATGGTAAACAAAAACCTTAGTGCTGTGACTGAAATAAAAATATTTCAATTGCACTCTCTAAATATTACGAACCCGATATCAAACACATTCTTAAATAGAAATATATATGGTGAAAGACGCACCCACCCCCTATTGCCATATACAGGGCACATTTCCAGACTTTGTGCTACTACTAAGAAATTTTAAAAATCCAATAATACTTTGCCCGACCCCGAGTCGCACTTGCGACCACTTGGCCAACGTAGTACCTAATGAAATATTTGTTTATTTATTTTATATTTATACTTTATTGCACCTACAGAAAAAATTATATACATTGTAATAGTAATTTGAGTACAATACGCGGTCTTATCACTTATTGTTCTATAAAATCTAATAAAGGATTTTCCAAAAGTCATCTGGGACCTTAGTTTGTCTTACGCTAAAGTATTCGAAACGAGACCGTGATCGACCCTCTGATTGGTTGGTTCATTCGAGCCGGCCAATTAGAGCGGACGCGTATTCGTTACGATTAATTTAAACGTAAAAACTCGTACAAAGGCCATTGGGCAAAAGTTGTGGTTTATGATGACATCAGTATTTGAATTCTGGTGGTCAATGTATTAAAATAACCCTGTTTACTAGTTTATGTTGTTAACTTAGGTATAGCTATTAGGCAGTAAGTATTCAAAAGTTATATTTGAAAATATCATTTTAAACCTACTTTTCCTGTAACCTGTGTTTTGAAATGAAAATGTTGTACATTATAGGTAACGACGTGACGAATTATTTGATTGCAAATATTCTATAATATATTAGAATTAAGCTTTATATGTGCCAAATGTCTGTTATACCTACCTAGGTACTACTACACTATAATACCAATAATAAAATAATAATTCTATAAACTATATTTAAAAAAAAGCCTTCAACCCATTCTTTTTTGATGTCGAACCGACCTCAACTTCAACCCTCTCTGTTTTTGAAATCGGTTAATCAATATAGGTACTAAAACCTTCTTCTACGTATAACGAACACTTTTGTGAAAAACACATCAAAAACGGTTCAGTTAATAGTGAGATTATCGCGCACAAACATAAACCGACTTTGAAAAGAAAAAAAATAACCGACTTCAAAAAAAGAGAATGTTTAAGTGTTAACTACACTTTATTTCTTAAAATAAGTAATTTTAATCCAAAAGCTTTAGATCAATTTTTGACAGAGATTCGATTCAGGTAATGTCAAAAAGCTCGTTGTAATCGTCGATGCATACATAGTCACATACATTTCAATAACCATATCTACCGATTGAGCTCTCATACTTATACATATAATATTGAATACTAAACGTAAACGTGCCGGTTTGCGTTAGCTGCCTCCGTAACGCGTACATGGGTGGCAAGCCACAACCGCCGCAACCACAACCGCCGGTCGACTGCGCTAATTCCTTGCGCATTATACATTTAATCCTTTGTCTCGTCACCGTGTTTAACACGTATTATATTATGTCGACTTAAGGACATTATCGCCTTACAATAAGTAGCTTTTCTTTTGTTATTTAGGTCATGAAAATATTTACGTACTCGTTTAGTTTTTGTTTACTTAGATACCCGAAAGTATAATGGTTATTGATGGACTGTTTTTAAACACGTTAACAATTTTGTACTTTCTTTTTGGTGCTACAAACCTAGTTCTAGTTGTTTAGATTCGAAACCAGTTTAGATACTACTCCTGATGACATACCAAGAACTGAATCCGGAAAAATCCGGAAAATCTATACTCTTAACAACGATATCATAGAATGTAGAACCATTTTTTTCAATACTTGATATGAAAACAACCTATATCATAAAACCTCGGAGAAACTATTACACATTAATTTGTTTGATCACAACAAGTAAACTTTCTTATTGACTTGAACGACTTAACAGTCATACAGTAAAACCTTACCAATCGGACGAGCCGCTCTTCAATAAAATCTTAATTCACTAACTTTTTATGACTCATATAACACTAAGCAAAGGAAACCTCGTCTATAAATATTTACCGGGAACCGCAAATTTATACGCCATAAAACGTCCATTTAATATTACATAATGAAATCTTTTCGGCACTTTATAACTTTTATTGGACGGTGATTTAAAACGTTTGTTTAAGATTTTAAAACTTTCGACCTAATGCCTCGACACACGAAAGGCGTGGCGAAATTTTTTTGAGTAATTTGTATGTTATATTACTAAAATGGTGAACACGCTTTCGTTCTGATGGAAAATATCGTAACAGTTGAAATAACGTATTATTGTTGACATATGACTCATATTTCTGTTATACTTATAATATAGTATAGTACTATAATTTCAATATATCACGCCCGATTACGTCTTTGCAGGAGAGTTTCATTATTGCATTAAGAATTTCGAGCATATTCTAAACCATACTATAAACTACTTTTAATATATAAACTTCTAGTGTGACAAATCCCTAAGTTGTATGTATTTAAAGCTAAAGGTCTGAAGGAAGCGGCCGAGGCCCAGTGACCGCAAGAAGCCCTACACGGAGGGAAGGTTTCTGTGGTGACTCGAGGACAAGCACTCTTTATAAGAAACACGTTTCATGTGAGGTCGATGACTGAGACTTTTTTAAGGACTTCATTATTATCATATTTATTTTCTAAGTAGGTTACGTAGAGTCAATGAGGAATCAGGATCTGTAACTAATATCAATATTAGTCGTAAATGTGCAATTAAACTTGTAATCTTAATTTTTTACGTCATTATATAGGTTTTCACAATCCAAACTTCAAGATTAATTCAGATATGTTTCTGAAAGTGTGCTCTGTCTGCGAAAACTTACTATTTTCGATTAAAGTGTCACTTTGAAGTTTGATCAAATAAAATAATACCATAACCTTTAAAAACCACAATTATTAACCAAATTCTCTTCTTCGACAGGAGTAAAAGATGACTCAGACGACGTGTCGAGCAAAAGTTGCGGAGGAGACTCGTCAGGGCTGGTCAAGAAGCAGAGGAAAGCGAGGACCGCCTTCACAGACCACCAGCTACAGACATTAGAGAAGTCTTTCGAAAGACAGAAGTACCTGAGCGTCCAGGACCGAATGGAGCTCGCAGCGAAACTAGGACTAACAGATACACAGGTCAAAACCTGGTATCAAAATAGAAGGTTAGTATTTGTTTTATGAGATAGATTTTCTATGCAACATAAGAAGGCACTGCTGAAACAAAATACCCTCTCAAAAGGGGGTTTGCCATAATCCATTCGCTTGACAGTTGGCATCGGGGTCACACAATTAAGTCCCTGTTATCCTTCGTATTTGGAGGCTAGCAACAGTATAACGAGTACGACTTTGCGGGGTGTAACTTAGGTATTAGTACTGGGTTTTTTTTAAGGGGGAAAATCATCAAATGGCTGCTAAAAACCACAATGTTCCTTCTCCTGCACGTCGAGCCGGAGCCCCGGTAACTCGTTAGGTTCTCAGCGACATCAGTATTAGGTAGAACTAGTATTTGAAAAGATAAACTACTAAACACATTCTATATTTGAATTGTTGAGTTGTTGTAGAGGAAAGAACTCATACATTTTTAATATCTGTTGCGGCATATTCTGAACACAATCTCGTTCAGCCAGCATTTTCATGTCAATTTCATCTTACGACCACCATGATAACTAAGGAGGCGAGATTGGACGATTCTCTAACGACTTTAGGTAAACGGTTTATCCCTAACTTCAGTAATATTCCGATTAATTAGTTTAATAGAAGGAAATAATCTAAATAAATATGTTGTTATTTCAACAGTATCAAATTCCACGTACACTTGATTAATTTACTGACACCTAGTTAATACAAAAACATGAGATTACCATTGTTTTCTTCAAAAGACTAGGAAAATTGCGTTTAATATCCTTATTTAAGTATAATTTGGTATTTCCAACAGGTAGTAGATACGGGGTTAACATGACATAACTTAATGCATGGCTTTTAATCCAGGTGCACATTATCGGTACCTACAATATAACACTCACTTGTCATTCGTTTTCTAATGTATGTATGAGGGGGTTAACCCATTGCCATCCATCGATTGGGCTCCATGATTATTTACTTAGGTTAAAGTACAAAAAAAAAATAGAAATATGTAAACCTGGAACTGAAAGACCGATACCTCTTCTTGCCTATTACACATACGTAATTAGCCAATATTATCTTTATCACACTAAATAAAGAAATATCATAAAAATAAAAAGTTCAATGATCTATAACATATATCTATGCTTATCTCTGAAATTTTATTTTTATTTAGAAAAAGTCCTTATTTTTTAAATAAAATCTTAGATAATATGCGTAATGACGTGGATACTATAAAGGTGATAGAGGTACATCGTAGAAAACAATTAAAGAACCATTTAACTCACAACAGTGGAATTATTATTTCTGAAGGTGGTGGCCCAAGTTACAAACCATAGCGTTACTAACTCATAACTATATATAATGATAACTCTTTTCTTTTTGACAATCTTTAAATAAGAAGGATTTCTCAATGAAGTACAAAATACGACAACGGCTTAATTAGGTTTTTTATATTATCAAAATATCAAGTCTCTTAAAGTCAATCTCTTAACGGAAGTAAGGCTAATTTCGATTAAGTTTATTATGTAAAATATTTCTTTAAATATGTTTATAAGACCAAATATTTAATAGATAAAGCATTTTGCGTTTCGTTGGATTTCATCAAATGTCCACATTATAAAATCGTTGAGGTAATACGTAACTTATAACTTAGAACAAACACGAGCAGAGGTCGTGAGATAGTCGGCAATCTTCACAAGCCCTGCTGACTCAGCAAAACTGTCCACATATTACTACTGGCCGAAACTGGGACCAACCTTCTTTAATAATACATAAAGCAATTAAATACGAAATAATGAACGGCCCATACCTCTTAGATAAGCGCGGATGCTTGCAATTTCAACATTATCTTCATAGCCAAGGATTAAAAACGACAACCATTAAAATACTTTATTAACTCGTTTCTACCTTAACTTCGCAATAAAGTCATAAAAATTATATAACTTTATAAACAGAATTATAGCTTTAATTAATTCTGTTCTTGAACATCATTAAGATTCTAAGGTGCCATTATATTTTAGAAAAAAAAAAATACACTGGCAACAAAGGAGTTTTGTCGGCGACAGTACGGCGGCTATTTCAAAAACAAACGTTTGTAATTAGGGTCCAATCGCCGCCTCCACTGGTTCCCTCACAAAAAAGCTACGGTAGCTAATATAACAAACTGTACTAATTTTCTATTGATTGAATACCATCTTTGTAATCAAGATTGTGGAGTATTACAACTACTGCCGTACTATTAATACTGAATTCGTTTTTTAGATTTGTTTTATGAAAGTTTTTATACTATGAAGCTAGTTTTCTGATAGGTATCTTCGTAAGAGTTCACAGCTTTCATTGTTACCTTCTCTTGTAAAATAATTAATCAACATGTGTGGTCTAAGACAATTGATAATTGCTACTTAATTGTCCAAAGGTGCCATTCCAGGCTAATTTTATGATAGCAAATATGACAGTGAGCCCTGCGCAGGCGCCGCACGGTGCGTCCACGCCCCCGCCGCCGTGTCTGCACCTTTTTGTAGCACTTTTTGTTGATTTTCTATAATTTCGGTTAAACTAATGTTTGGGCTTCGATTTTTCGGTTCGTGAAAGGGTGTGAAATCGCAGTTAATTGAAAGATGTAATGGCCTTTGTGTTCAGTCACTTTCCTATACTTTTTATAGCGGTACACTCAAATAGATTAGTGGCACTACCTACTAATAACAGGCACCGATTTTCTGGTCCCCGGATACAGAATAAATTATACTAATATGTATATGAATTATTTTTGAACAATGGTCACTCCTAATTTGGAAAAACACAAAGCTTTTTAATAACGAACCAAAGTGAAACAATTAATTTTAATTACCTATTTACAAGACACGCCGTTTGCTTTTTGCTTAATTATAAATAATTACACAGCTACATAACTTCTTGCCTACTTGCTTAGTGATTTTCTACAAACTATTTAAATGAAAAACATTAACATTTTGATTATTTGCCGCGATCACTTTTAATTAGTATCAGATAATTTGTTTCACAAATGCGCCATTTTCGTAATTAGATAGTGGGTGGTTCGTTTAGAAATGGATTGTAGTTTTCGCTATTAGATGAGCAATTTGTAGTGTTGTTAAGTGGATGTGAGCTTGATATGAGTGTAATTGTGTCTCACCTGGCGACATTCCCACGAGTCAGGTGTAAGAACGACCCCGCAGAATTACCGCCAACTACCATAACGTAATGCTATTCATAATACTTAACCGACAATCACAAATGACTCTTATGTTTAGTGAAGTAACATTTAAACGTAAAATAGAATTGTAATATAGACATATATTCGCACATCGAAAAAGAGTTTTCTTAACTCTATCAAATGTTATTTGTGAACATATTGAGAAATTGGTACAGCCTGCTCTGATATTTGGTGTTAGTACCAGCGTGTGACCGTCGGCACTGGCATCATCTTAAAGGCTGCAAGTCACTGGCGCGCCGGCGCCGCTCCACACTCCTTACTAATCATCACACCGCCGACAATCTGCCTCAACACACACACCGGTGTGTGTTTACTTAATTGTTTTCAAATTGCTTCCTTATTTGGCGATGACTTCAATTTTCGTGGACTACTTAAGCATGTGTGACCAAAATGGAACGGAAGCAAATCTGTGTGAAGGCTTATTGACTTAAATTTTAGGACCTTTGGTATTAAAAAGTTTCGTTATCATTCACAACATTCTACTTCGTAAAAGTTATTTTGCTACTCGATGAACTGAAAATTTAGTCTAACAGCAGTATTTATAAACGCTATAAATTAGCTAAAACTGATCATGATCGTAGAACCGATGTTCAAAAATTACTAGAATAAAAATATATAACACCTCTTAGACTTTGTAGACTGATTCACAGATGATTCACCAATAGTTATAGATAATATTACGAGTGATCGTGAATTCACAATAAGCGGAGGGCCGCGAACAAAATGTCGTTTATCGGCGTTTAGTCGTCGAAACGTATAATCCATCGCGATTACCTAATGACGTATTCTGTAATGATTCTCTACAACAACCTACCTGTGTTCAGACTAGTGGCTAACGTGAGTCTGTCTATTATTAAATGATGTTTGCAATGTAACAGGACTCTTTTTGGGTCTTCGGTGTATTGGTATTCGGTATCGTTACTTTTGATTACAAGTACTATTTGATATTTGAATGTTTATCAAACCTATGTAACTTTAGTTAGTGAAATCTGGCATTTCCCAAAAGCATTTCAACAATCTGTCAAACTCAACTCAGATATTTAAATAATTTTAGCATCGATTTAACTTTTTTTTTCAAAAACGGCATGTTGGATAATTTTCAATGACTAAGCTAACTGATGGTCCAACAGACCATTTTGTTTCCATTATGTTAACTGAAACGTGCGCGTAAATATGAATTTATGTTAGCGACTAAACGGTCACCGTTTCTCGTAAATTTGTATCATTTGTATAAATGCTGGCGATCATTCGGCTACGTGCAGCAGCCTCGGCCCACACCACACGAAACAAGCGATGCTACTAAACACGAAATATGTAAACTTTCCTTAAATTCATAGATTTCACTTAGTGTGTACCGTAACTAATGTTTGCTAAGTTTATGATTTGATCGTAAAGATTAATTTGAAGTACTTCAACGTTAGTGCTGCTAAGTTACAATTACAATATTTTAAAGGAAGTTAAGTTTAATTAGTGATATAAAATCCCTACGATATTTATATCGTTTTAGAGCTTTAGCTCTAAAACGCATTACGAGCGGATAAACTTGCAATGATTTAACGACAAAGAACGATTTCGACATTGTAAAACAATTTCCTACTAATCCAAAATAGAAGTTATCCTACTCGATGTCAATTCGAATCGAAGCTAAAGAATAGATTAGCAATGAGTCGTAAATTAAATCGAACAATCGAATCAGCGCGTGCTTTTGAAACAATAGATTGTTTAATCGATTGGTCCTAGCATCCTAAACAGCGGCAGCTTTATTAAAATTCCGTACGTGTGCTTACACATCTCTAATGACATAATGCGCGGGTTCCGCGAGTCGTGTAGCTACCGAGAACCAGACTAATCGGTTAATGCGAACCCTTCCAAATTACATAGCAGAGACACGGGATTCGCAGCAAGGACGCTCCGGTCACCCGGCTTATCATTTAACCACTAATCATTATATTGCAAATGCCATTTCAGTTTTGGCCGGGTTTTAATAAGCGGATTGCGAGTGGGATTATTCGTTGTATAGCAATTTTGCTGTTCTAAGTCTGGCTCGTGATGCAATCTGATATTAGTGAACGTTCGAGTTGCAGGAAATGTTTTATTGTATACCTACCTAGTTGTTCATTAAAATAAGATTACGTGTTTTAGTTTTAGCAGACAAATTGCTACATTTGTTGTTTCATCAATTAAATGTGGTTCATGTTTTTTGTGAGCGTCGCGGTAGTGATCGTTGCATTATTTTATATTATTCAGATGACCTTTACAAAGTGTAGTTTGAATGGGTCTCTTTGTATTCGTCCATTAATATTAAATGCAAAATTTCTACACGCCTCCGTAGGTATGTTATTTTAAAGACATTTGTAATAATTTATGGATCCTGGATTCTCGTCACGTCGTTGATATTTTCATATAAGTTCGGTTAAAAAGTTTCGTCTTTTTATTTATGAAAATTTTATGCAAATTATGTCAGGAATGTTATTGGGTACAAATCTAGTTTTTTTGATGACCAATTTATAGGTCAGTGCTTGTATGATGGCTTTGATAGTAATGAATTGTAAATTGAAAAAAAATTTTTATGTTTGTTAACAAAGTAAACATTAAGTAAATGGATACAGAATCGTTTAATCACAAAACAGATAATATTTCCTCTCATTTTAATACATATTAACTTTATTTGTATTTTGTGAAAAATAAAACTTAAATAACTCAAAAAAAACTTTGTCAAAATAAATTTCTCAGTTGTTTTGAGTGTGCTAATGTATAAGTAAATGCTCACGGACTTTAAATTCAAATGAACTGCGATTTGTACCATAAAACAGAAGCTTTTTAATTTACAAATTACAATGTGATTTCATACCGACGTAACTATCGAGAATACCTACAACTATAATTACATTTCCCTATTTCATTATTAAAACAGCTGAATTCATGTAAAAGAACACTAAGTTTTCCTCAAAGTTTTATAGTTAAACTTTGCCAAAATCTTTTAAGGTAAGAAAAAAATATTCTTGAAATACAGGCACGTATCATGTTCGCAACAATAAACCTGGTTAAATTTCAAACAATTCCCATAAGCGCGCTCACACAGGCATGTTTCTGAAACTTTCTAAGCAGCGTATAAATAACGTTCGATAAAGCTCAAATTGGGCCCGAGACGTGAGGACCGTAAGAGCGTAAGCGACGCCAGCGCCGCCACTCGTACGATCGATGAAAGTGTTCTTTGTTTGCCGGATATACAAGCCGAATTCGCATCACGTCGCCGAAAAACGCAAACTGAGATAAACAACCTCCCCCCCGGAGAGGTCGTAAGCGAGATCGTTTTACCGGGCAATTTTCGTCTTTAACAAGAGCTGTTAAGGCCCGTTTTTGGACAGGTCTCCTCGAACAACAATTGAATCAGTTCACGCAGCATCAAATCACTAAACCACTGGGCGGGGCGTACTCAGACTCCACCGGGGGACGGCGGAACAGGGACGGAGGAGAGTGGCTCTCGCCTCGCGCCTTCGAGTTAGACAGAGAGCAGCGTATTGTCTGTCGAGAGGTCTCGACTTGAGATGCCAGTCCAAATTTAAGTGCGCTCCGAGAGCTTTTTGTTCGTAGCCCGCGGCGGCAACAAAAAGAATAGTGTCACTGAGCAGATTGCCCCTCATTCAGCACTTGACAATTAAATAAGTGCTCTCGAGTGACGTAAACTAAGAGCAAGCCGTCATAATAACATGATTAATGAGAGCACGGCTTTCTATCGATCATTTGTCAGCTACCGATAATTAAAGTGTAGCATTTAAATTAGGATCGAGTTTAATACGGCTTAAACTATTAATGTTATATTTGAATCGAAAATGCTTTCATTGTGAGGCTGTATGTAGGTACCATTGTATCTACAGCGCGACGTGAATTAATGACACTGATGGCAAAGAAATGAGGGTAGCAAAATATAAATTATAGAATGAATGACATGCAATAAAACATGGACTCCCCCTCATTTGCATTTAATAAAATTAAATGATCCATTTATAGAAATTAATTAACGAGGTGGCCAGTGAAGCGTCTGGTTGTGCGAGGACGCGGTAACAATGGGCGCACACTACGCTACTAATAATATCAATGATAATGCGACGAACGACTCCCTACAAATTAATAAAAACCTCACTCAAGGACAATAACCAACCACTTCGGAACTAATCGAGTACCGACAACGGAATTAAATTAAATTTTAAAATGGGGATGCGTTTGTTTATTTGGTGCGTGCGGAAAATAAATGCGAAATTATAGCACGTTTATTGTTATTATTTGAAGCGGTGATTTCTATTCATAAAAATAATTTAATGGGCTAAAATGCCTACTATTTAAGTATCGGGTTATCGGAAGTAACTAAATAAACTTAATGTGTAATTAGGTAGTTAAAAATGAAACCAATTATTTTATGAAACTGTGCGAGAGAACAAAATAAATGTTTTCTATCAAACTAAAGATTCCAGACGTTTGGAGATGTATTCTTAAAGGCAAATTTCGCATCCAAGTCCTATAGAATTAACATCATCATTCTTTACAAGTACCATTAAACTTTTTGCTAAATAGCATTGTGGGATAGAGCAGTTGTAAACTAAAGTAATAACCCTGAGTATTGTAGCGTAATTTATACGGGTTTACCCTTTCCCAACCGAATCAAATAAATCAAATTAAAGTACTCGACCACGCTCCGACGACTCCACTAGTGCCCAAGACGTTTTGTCAAATTTATTATTTTATTTACATTTTTTTATTAGTTTTACCACTGTGGTATCTCTATTGTGCTCTCGAGTGCACTGTGACAAATTTGATGACGATTGGGGTCACAGCCCGTGATCTATGGCCGTAGGGTCCGTAAACGGCAGTTCACAGAATTTTAGACTCGATTTAAGTTTGTAATGTGACATAAATCGTTTCTCTGTACTTGTGGGATTCTCATAACGATTTATTTCGATTTCAAATGGACTGTGAACTTTTTTATCAATCATACTTTGCGGTATTGTATTGCGTTTTTTATTCGGCTACTTTAATAGTTGTTATTATGTTCTTAGATTTCATTTTGGTCTTGTGAAGTTATAAATGGCAATTTTTTGTCTTGTGTCTACGTTCGTTAATTCTTATATGTTTAAAAATAGAATGCATAACATGCACTTACGACAACAAACATACAAACAATAACCTTCTCTTTTCTTTCACCAGGACAAAATGGAAACGACAAACAGCGGTAGGATTGGAACTGCTAGCTGAAGCGGGCAACTACGCAGCCTTCCAGCGGCTGTATGGCGGGTACTGGCCTGGAGTACCAGCGTATCCAGCGCAGCCTGCTCCTGCGGCCGCTGACCTGTACTACAGGCAAGCTGCTGCAACCGCTGCAGCGGCTGCATCGGCCAGTGCTAACACGCTACAGAAGCCTTTGCCGTACCGGTGAGTTTATAAGACGATTTAATTCTATTACAGACGAGGTCTTCTTAATCTTTAACTTCTGTAATTATAGTGGTAAAATTGTCTTTAAACTTTTGTATCCTACAACATGATCTTCCTTTGTCATCAGGTTATACCCCGGTGCGCCGTTAGGAGGCGTCCCACCTTTGGGATTGGGCTTGCCAGGACCATCGGCACACCTGGGCTCATTAGGTGCACCGGCGCTGGGTGCGTTGGGCTACTACGCGCATGCGCGTCGAACACCTTCACCAGACCTCGATCCTGGTAGCCCTGCACCGCCGCACCGCTCACCCCCTGACACACCTGCAGACAGGCGCTCTGATGATGAAGACGACGATGAACCCATCCACGTATAATGTGAACAAATCCATGACAAGTGAAAAATTCCATCCAAAGTGATCTGACAATCAAAAACTAAGTGTTAAAGTAAAAAGTGATGAACTATACATTCACGAGTGCTTTGGAAGTACATGGACAAGTCTGCCAACCAGTCTGGTTGCGGTTCCTCTTGACTCGGTTTTGCCGCTGCACTGTTGTTTTGCACGAGAATTTCTTGTTGGAGTATTACATTTCGAGTATTCTTTCCTTGGGACGGACGTCGCCTGTCCGAGATATGTGATATTATAAGCCCAGATTTGATATAAGGACGTGTAAAATATAATTGATGTCGTGTTAACTACTTATTGATAAATTAGTGATTAGACAAAGCTTTGTAAGTTACAATAGAAAATAAATAGGCGGGAATTTGATCATTCCATTTATGATTAATTTATATTTAAGTAATGTTCCACAAGGTTTGCTTCGGTGTTGCATCTTCGTGATAAAGAAATATTATCCATTAAATTATTGATAATGTCATAGGATCTACGATTGCCTTCACGATCTCGACTCACTGTTGCATTCAAGTTTTTAGTAATTTTTAAGAAGGTTTCCAACAAACTTGGAACATGACACGTAATGTTTTAAAATTAAACCATACAGTCATAACTTTAATGGAAATGGACCTAAATTGCAAATTATGATCATCAGTCAAGCACAGTGACGTCACTCAGTGCGTAACAAAAGAAAAGTTGGCAGTCGTTAGCGATAAACAAATGAATCTCATGCGAGTGATATTATTACGAGTGTAGTTAGACGAAGCACTGGAGTGCAATGTACAGTATTTAATCTTTCGGAACAACGCCAGTCTACGAATTGTGCAAACATGCTGTATATTATAATATAAATATAACTATTCATATACGATGTATGTATTGTTAGTATTAAATACACAACTTAAAGTATTAAATGTATGTAATAAAGTACCTAATGCTATATAGTAATAACACAGCGGTGTACTTAAGCAATCCGAGATGTGGCATTTTATGTCCCATAGATTTTGTGGTGTTTTGTAATTAAAATGTTGTCAATTAAATATAGCGATTGTTTTTCTGTTGTCACCTTCTCATCATTATAGATGTTCGCTTTGCATTTGTTTACGATACGTTTATATTTGCCAGTAAATCATTTTATTTACGGAATTAAAGAAAAATGTGCACTTTAACAATTGGTTTTAATCACATTGAGGAGCTACTAAGACAATATTACGTAACACGTACCTAATTTCAGAGCTAAAACGATTAACGCACGCACTCAAACGCTTAAGAAATAACAGTCAATCGACCAGAAACATGCAAATAGTTGATGTAAACAGAAGCAAACGAGGTTGAAGTAAAGATTAATTAGAAGTGCTATATAAAAGCAAATTTAATACATTCTCCGTGGCACTTTAGCAGTTGTAACGAACACCTAGCGGGCTGCTACGCGCCGTGGAGCTAACTCCGCTTTGTCACGCCATCGGCTCAGGCTCGGTTAATAGGCCCGTGTTAAATTGTGTGTGCTATCTCCATTTGCAACTGCTCCATTAGGGCTGTTACGAATATGAGCCTATATACGACTCCGAGCTATGTGCAACGTCCTGATTGCACGCGATCTAACGCTGCGCGAATAAGTGTTATGTTTACGCCAGTTTACTATCGCGCTTGTTCTGTTTTTCCGTTTTTCCAAACAAATAAAAACTTTATAGGTCGCAACTCGATTCTAGATTTCAACAACGCTTTGTTTTTAAATCATTTGACACTTATGTGACGTGGTCGAAAGAAATTGAAACGATTAAAAAGTCATAGAGCAAGCGACACGTCACGGCCGTCACGCCAGATTCGCGTTTTATAAAGCAACTTGTCCTCGGTCGCGTTTACACAATCGGCCCTCATGAAAACTTCTCTTTGATTTCCTTCGAAACATTTTTAGCGGGCATAAAACCTATTTAAAAAGCAATCAGTCAGAGGCCGCTGATTGCCCACGGGGCACGCCACCGACCGTGTTCACAAAACGGAGCAATTAACAGCGCCCCTCCCCCCACCACCGCACACCCCAGTCTTTCCTCCCGCACAGATCTAATCGCAAAACGACCGTTTTCTAGAATCGCCTCTACAAAGCATTGCGTGCTTCAGCGCGTTGGGGTAACGCAGTGACCACGATCAACAGCCATGTAACTTTGAAAATACAAACATATTTTGTTTGATGCCTTGATGGCCATCATAACTTATAGAGAATGATAGGATCAAACCCACCTGTATTACCAAGCAGTGAAGAAATATCCAATTAGCTATTCACAACGCTAGCTAGTGCTAGTGTTATCGTGCTTAATAATAATTCAGTCGAGTGCTTTACACAGTCTATATCATATCAATATAAACCGCTCATGAATTAATTTCTAAACTACAACTGTTTACTTAAACCTTTTTTTACATAATCGTTTACCGCAAAAAAGTAGGAGTTGATATAATAACAGGGTATAAATGCATACTATATTTACTACACATATTTACGTAGGAACAACGCGTTACATAAAAACTAGGCTGGCATCACGGCACGCCACGCCACGCCAATACCCACTCGTGCCATATTAATATTTATGTTGTTTAAACGATGTTTAATCACAACAGACACGAATAGTTTTTGCTGTCAGTTATAGCGAAATGAATATTTTCCGATTGAAATCAATACTTAACTAAAAACATGGAATTACCGTGATTATTTGACTATTTGTTGATTGCAATTATGTTTAGCAAGATACCGCTCCCAGTGGTTTTACGATGACACGACTAGTATAAAAAATAAATAATTTTGAAAACGATTCAGTGAAGACAAACAATAACATTAATTGTGAATAAAAAAGCGACCCCTTAGAAATTGACAAATAAATTTTAACGATCTCATAATTAAACATTGACCGCACTAGTTAGTGGAACTGTGGGACTCTAGTCCCTTAATAAAACATATAATTTAATTGGCATTTAACTTATCCCTTTATCGTTTGTATCACCCAAGAATCTGTTACGAGTAGGAAAAAAGAAAAATGGCTGCTATGGTCAGTTTACTTATACGACTTCCTCGCATTACATTGTTGCCATTAAAAGATTGTTTAATTGAGTGAATTATGACTGATGCTTCCTCAATTCGCGTTATATTTAACATTTTATGGCTACTTACCTACCTAATGTTTCCTTTAAGTAAGCAACAAAGCAAAAATACGTTTCTCCAAGTTGCATTGCGAACATAATTCGCGATAATAAATGGGTGCTAGCTATTATGACAGCCATATTAGTAGATTCATTCTTAAAATGGTCGTGTTGGCCCGGAAACGAAATCTTTTGCCTGTAAAGTGCCAATTTCGGGTAATACACGGTAATTACTGAGTGAACATGTGATAATGAATGCTCTGATGTCGTGTACGGTTGTATAATAATTAGTTTTACCGGTACAGGTTGAGGAAGAAATTATTTCAGTAATAAGTGTTCGAAGAAATTGTTGAAAGTGTTCTTGTTTACGATACAACAATTACTTTAAACACTTTCAGGGTCCACCGGGCTGCATGATGAAAAGAACATGTCTTTGCTTATCTGAACCTTAAATTAAACTCTTATTTACTCTTTTTCACAGGGGTAAAAAGCAGCCTATGTGTTACTACAGCCCATAATCTACCACTGTTCCAAATTTCATCCCGGTCCCTTCAGCCATTTTGAAGTGATAGACACAAACTCTATGTGAGTTTGTTTACACATTTATAATATCGGTTAAACCTAATTTCAACCATTGGCCCTACAGTTACAGCGTAAAGTCCTCTGCGGCCAACCTAACATTCGACAAACTTATATTTGTGTTTAGTACAGTAACTGTGTCTAGGGATTTAGCCGCACAATTAAGTTTGTGTTTTCGTGTATATACTTTTTAGGGATAACATTCCACACTATTTATTTTTTTAATATTTCTATGTACAGAATTTACACTTCTACAGTTCTATTATATGTATAGAAGACCACACAGTCACCCGTTGAACTAAAGCTTTTGAACTATTTTGGAAATAGTCGAACGTTTAGCTGTTTAATTTTTCACAGCTCTACCAAACTAACACTCACATTAAAGTCTAAAAAACTTCTTTTAAAGTAACGTAAACAAGTTTTTCAGCGAAACAGTTTATATATTTATTAAAGGTAAATCATTAAAGCATTTAACGAGTGTTTAGCACTAAATCAATGGGCAACAAGCGGCCCGGCGCCCGCGCCGTTGCGTTGTAGATCTGTATCTGTTTCCGTCGCTGCCACCGCCGTAATTACTGATTACAAGCGATTTTAGGCTTTTTGTCCAGCGACCCGACTACACACACACATGTAAACAATATGACTCATTTGTATTTTGTATTTTTTTAAACACAATGATAATAAAAAGTAATGTTGACGTTTAGGGCTGTAGGTGAAGTGACATTTTTAACTGTTTTTTCCTGTGACAACCACTTAAATCGGAGGCTTACAACCGATTATTAGACACCGTGACTTTGCTAGGTGTGTAATTTATGAAAATTGGAAGTACCCCCATACATACTTTGCCCAAAATCAAACCTGAAACGTTTTGCTTAACCACTTGTCTCTATACCCATGAGGTAGTCAAAGTAACTTATTTTTCATTGTATACCTACGAAGTATTGGACAGTAAGTAAGTATAAAACTAAGTATAAATATAAAGAAGATATAGATAGGCACATAGATAGAGCTAAACACTTTATTGTGCACCATACAAGTACTCTCTACAATCAGAAATCCTTTTTACAAAGCTCTAGATTTTATTCTCAAAGATTGATTTATTCCTAGAGCCTGTCCTTTGCACCTACTTATTATTCAAGGTCCAGTGCGGACCCTAATTAATTAGGGAAAAGGTTATGAGAAAGAACATGTAACATTTAACTACTAATTATAACAAAGCTAGAGAGAAGGCATTCTTTTTAAAACTATTATTGTGATGAAGAATCTTCGGTCGT